GAAGTCTGGGTAGCGATCACAAACGTATCAAGCTAAGTTTTGGAAGAGCAGTGAAAGTGGGAAGGAGACAAGATGAGCAACTACAGGAAAATTTTTATCCGGAAAGGCAAATTGAAATAGCCACTAAACAAATTGAGAAAGTAATCACGGAGGATAATAAGACAGTATGGACATACACGAATCTAATTAGACTCTTTGAGCTAGAGCTTGCTAAGATGCGTGACAAGTCACCCCGGAAAAGAAGACACAAACCCAAAAGTTGGTGGGATGAGGAAGTTAAGAAAGCCATAGCAAAACGTCAGGAAGCCTCTAGGGAACACAGACATGCTAAGCAGTGGGGTGAACCGACAGATGATGTTAAAAGAAAATGGGCAATTTTTCTAAGCTGTAGAAGAGATGCATCCCTTCTGATCAATGAAAAGATTAGAAGGAAGGGAGCTCAGTGGCTGGCAGAAGTACATAAAAAAGATAAAAAGGCAGCTGCGAAATTTTGGAACCATCTAAACTCCCTAAGAAATGAGACGAGCCTAGAACAGAGATTTATAACTACAGCCCAAGGTGCTAGGCTTGAAGGGGACGAAGCTATTGAATATATAAGAACAAAAGTGACAGAAAAATTTCGACAAAGAAGTACTCTACGCACCACAATAGACAAGGATGAATCAAGTGGTGCAATGGCTCCATTTTCACAACAAGAGTGGGTAAGGGCTGAGAAAAGGGTTCCTAGTAGTACATCAACAGGCCCAGATGGCATTTCAATTAGGCTGATAAAGACATTAGGTCTGAAGTCTAAGCAGGCTTTGAGAGAGGCAGTGAGCACAATAATAATCGATGGTGAAGTTCCCGATGGATGGAAACTTAGCAGGATGAGCATGATCTATAAAGGAAAGGGGGACAAAGCTGACATAAACAACTACCGTCCTATAACAGTGACATCAGTGGTCTACAGGCTGGCGATGCAGATTATAAAGGAAAGACTGCAGGCGTGGATAGAGGATGAGGGGGTGCTGGGGGAACTGCAGAATGGATTTCGGAAACACAGGAGGTTGGAAGACAATCTGTTCTCACTGACGCAGTGCATCGAAATAGCAGAAAAGGAACACAGGCCCCTGTGGCTGGCATTTTTGGATATCAAGGGAGCGTACGATAGCGTGGTTCAAGAGGAATTGTGGGGAAGACTGGACACACTAGGCGTGGAACATGTAGTCACTAATCTTTTAAAGGGTATCTATAATTTTAACAAGGTAGTTATAAAGTGGGAAAAACAGGTATCCAAGCCTGCAGAGGTAAAACGGGGGCTTAGGCAGGGGTGCCCCCTGTCACCCTTATTATTCATGATGTACCTACAAGGATTAGAGGCAAAATTAGAGGGAAAGGGACTGGGCTTCAACCTCTCTTTAGTCAAACAAGGAAAACTTATTGATCAGGCACTACCAGCATTAATGTACGCAGATGATATAGTGCTAATGGCCAACAACAAGGAAGATTTGCAGAGATTGATGGACATCTGCGGTAATGAGGGAGATAGGTTAGATTTTAAATTCAGTAAGGAAAAATCAGCAGTCATGATTTTCAATGACAACGAAGGTAGTGAGCTTAGAATACAGGAGGTCACGCTAGAGATAACAGATAAATACAAATATCTGGGCGTATGGATAAGCAATGGGACCGAGTATCTGAGGGAACACGAAATATACGTGACGACTAAAGGTAACAGGAATGCAGCAGTCATGAAAAATAGGGCACTGTGGAATTACATTAGGTATGATGTTGTGAGAGGAATATGGAAAGGGGTCATGGTTCCTGGGCTGACGTTCGGCAATGCGGTCTTGTGCATGAGATCAGAAGTTCAAGCAAGATTAGAAATTAAGCAACGTGGAATAGGTAGGCTTGCTTTAGGAGCTCACGGGAATACACCAAATCAGGGAGTACAAGGTGATATGGGATGGACATCATTTGAGGGCAGGGAAGCTAGCAGCAAGATAAAATTTGAGAAGCGATTGAGAGAAATTGGGGAAGAGCGTTGGGCTAGGAAGGTTTTCAGCTACTTGTACAGGAAGAATGTCCTTACAAAATGGAGGAAGCGAAACAGGAAGTTGACTGGTAAATACTTAGAAAACAGCAGGTGGCCAAACCAAAAAGAACTATCGGTTAAGAAGAAAGTGAAGGAAACGGAGACTGACATGTGGAGAATGGGCATGATTAAGAAGTCCGCACTAGAGGTCTATCGAACGTTTAAGCAGGAAATTGCCAAGGAAAGGATCTATGATAATACTCGGGTTAGTTCTCTACTGTTTGAGGCCAGAACGGGAGTACTGCGAACCAAGACATATCGGGCCAAATACGAAGGGGTAGACACAGTACGCAGTGCGTGTGGAGAGGAAGAAGAAACTGCCGAACACTTGATAATGTTCTGTAAAGGGCTTCACCCTATAGTTCAGGATGATGGCGCAGAGTTTTTCAAAGCACTGGGGTTTAGGGACTGGGAGGGCAAAATAAACTTTAAGCGGGTAGACTTCACTAGAAGGAGGTCGTCTGATTGGTGGCTAAAGTCAAGGCGCGAGTGAAAATTAAACCCATCACTGCGAAGTACGAATCCTCAACTTCATTATTTAAAGAAAAAAAAAGATAAATGTAATGTTAGTTCACTAAGTATTACGGCTAGGTGGCGTTAGCCGCCGCCCGATCTAAAGTGTACAGCCACATCCATCCATCCATCCAACCGAAGATCTCAGAAGCGTCTGCATTGGGAGCGCGCGTGAGTAGCCCGTGAAAGCGTGCATTTGCTTGTTTTTTAGCGCCTTTGTTGTGCTTGAGAACCTTTATCAGTGTATGCACACCTGCTAAGCGCATTAGTGCACGAGTAAATATGCAGACGCGCAGAAATTGCGCCTGGGCATTTATTGTTTCAAAAGCCTGCCGACACACACACACACACACACACAAAATATGTCGTACCATCAGCATTTGCACGGATCCGCCTAGCTTTCCACTCAAGCAGCGCTTTCAGTGGCGCTACATCATAAGTGGCTACTGGTGATCTACAAAGAGGGAAGTATCAAAACCGTGAATAAATCATAGGCTCGTTCTGTCGGCAGTTTCCATATCCAGAGCACTCTTCCTCATATAAGCACACACGCGCTCGATTGTTTCATAAAAACCCCAATTATAAGTAATGTTGTCACCACATTTATATCTTAGTTTTAACATCCCATTTTTGCGGAAGATAATAATTAATGCTTTCTGAAAGGCTTTCTTGTTTTAACCGCGTGCTTCCGCACTCACTTTGCTTCTTTTATGCAAGCTCCAGGAGGCCGAGCTGAAAGAACGCCTGTACCTTCTAGTCATGAACTCTATGCGAATGGGGTTATCTTAAGCATATTAAAGAGACCCAGTTATATAATATACACAGCCTGTCTGTTACTAGGCGTCAATTCACTGTAACCAGCTCTCACTTCGTATCGACAGCTTAAATTGTACTGCTTTCCTAATATGATATTCGCGTGACGCCGTTGCAAGCGAGAAAATTTATGACGATGTTTAGTATCATAGACGGAGTTCTTTTATTAAGTGTCAGAAGTGCAGGCAGTCGTTGGTGATTTTTGTTTTGAGAAATGTAACTTGTATGTGCACCCCCTTAACAATATCCATGCAATGCCCCACAGAAGAGCAGCTATTTTTACGCCGTGCATTTTTTGTCCAACTACGTTAAACTTGAAGTAGTTTTGAGACCTCATACTGTCCTAACTGTACTAATTACGAAAGTCTTTCGTAGTGTAGGGGGTTCAGATTCTCTTCCTCACCCCTTTACTTACGGCCTCCTGGTTCTGCGTGTGTTTGACACGGTATTTTTGTTTTCATCTCACAACTTTCTGAGCGCAGCTAACTTCCAATAAATCGACTCAGTTATTCTAAATATTGTACACTCCTGTTTAACGAAGAAAGTGTTGAGAGAAGAAATCAGAATAAGGCACGCCCTTTCTAAACAATTTTTGATCTCTCACAAGAACTTTTATGGAGCTCAAATTCAGTAGATTGGTGTGTCATACTTCAAGGGTTATCACATCATGTGCTAGGCATGAATGATGGGTAGGTACGGAGAAATCTGCATCAAAAGGCGCACCGGAGAAGCCGGAGTGCATAGCAGTTCCTGCGCGCGGCACGCGGCTACATCAGTACTATTCGACTGCATCGCTGCCGCTACGGGCAACGCGGAAAGCATCAGGCGGCGAGGTGCGGTCACGCAACTCAACACTTCTAGTACACTCTAACAATGTTCTCTGCTGCTGCTTGGTTGGCCGCCTTCCTGAAGTGACCCGGCGGTGGCAGGATCAGGAGTTGTGATGTTTGCACGCCTGGTGGTGATTATTGTCTTTGCGCGTCTTTGCACTTTCATGCGCGCCTTTGCGTCTTTTTGTGCGCTGTTTCATAAGAAATCATGGCTCATCATAAGCCCATCAGTACATTTTAAGTAAGTTTATTCGCCTCTGAGATTAGCAAGTGCCATGGTTGCCAATTTTAAAAGCTAAGTACAAAGACTCTTACCCTACGTAGGTGGCGCCGCTAAAAATGATAGGCGTTTCATGCTCATTTGACAGGCAAAAAAAAATTTGGAGGCAATTTTTTAGGAGCCACCATAGCTATGGTACAAAACGTGTGCAGCTGTGCCGCCCGCGCGTGCAGACGATGCAGCACTGGGCGCCGTACCCGCCTCTAGTAACGCGGTGTGTTTTGTCAACATGTTTGCGCTTCAGCTCTGCCAACCACTTTAACTTGCTATATTGTTACTGCAGTAACATGTATAGCATTTACGTGGCTTTATAATTTTTAGTTTTATTTGCTTTTTCATTCTTTACAAGACCCGAAAACGCAAAAACAAACTTCGCTTGAGCCGTGGCTAGAGCCGACCAGCCCTACGCGAGTAGCGCCACTGCCATTATTCTGATTGTTTCTGACCGCGAAAAAGTTAGTTTTCTGCTTGGTTGGTTTCGATCGAGGTGGTTTGTTTTGCTGTGCCTCCGCCGAGCCCTCATGAACGTGGTCGCGAAGATGGCACGTCCCGGGTGTTCGTATCGTCACCGTGTTCTGGTTTTCCGCGTTGGTCGCCTGGCTTACTCTGAATAATCAACGTCCCAAGGCTACATGTACGGTTTACTCTTCAAAGAACGGTTGCTTCATCGAGAACTTCATCCCGCAGTATCACCATGCCTGCCTCCTGCTCTGCGTACGGCTGTGCCAGCACCGGCGGCCGACTCTGTGTAAGTAGTGTTTCACGCACCGTAAAAAAAAAGAAAAAAAATCGTAAAAACAAGCTGCCCAGTAGATGGCTGCTGTGAAATGAAGTAACTTCAACCCTTCGAAAAGGGCAGTACATTGCTAACCGCAGTTCTCTGCTCGAAAGATTTCCTTGACAGCGACTACTATCGGAATTTGTTGCCAATGCATGTTATTGCAATTCTGGGGAAGTTTCTCAAACGTGGTGGCGTCGATGCTTGTTCACGAATGAAATTAATCGCAGGCGCTGTGAGCAGCATTATAGAATAGACAAAACTACGAGATAAGATGTCGAGTGTTGCAGCTTGTTATGCTCCTTGTAGAGATTGTTATGAGTTTCACCGCCAGGGCGAATTAAGTACTGAATGTGATGACATTAAAATGCAGTGCTACAAGAAAAAAAAATAGCAGCTAACTCGTTTGGATTCGATACCGCGTAGCTCTATAAAGCGCTGGTGCAAGAGAATACAGCCGCTCCAAGGAGAAAAGTGGTTTTCGCGCAGTCTCTTCGCGATCGACCGTGCTCTTCTTATCGAAGTTCATAGTTGCTGCTGTAGTCACCCCCACACCCCGGTGTGGCCTCATGCTCATTCAAGATGGGTGCGTCATTTCTTCGCCGCCTCTCAAGCAATCGATAGCAGCCCTTGTTGGCGGGTGGATCTGAATGCATGCGCCCTCCATGCCACGGGTATAGACGTCAAACACGAGATTTTTGCAGACACCTAGCGCCACTTGTCAACGCAGTTTTGAGTAGTGCAAAGCCTGACTCCATTGCACAGTTTGCTGCGCAATCAGGTGCAACTACAGAATACAAAGCAACAATTGAGCTAAATAATAGGTATCTTTGTGTATTGAAAACTTACAAAAAGAGCTACGAAATTCTCTCTGCTAGTCGGACGTGTCACTGAACTGCCGTCAAGTGCTTGCTGGTTCACTCGCAAGAACGTGCGTGCGCGTCGTGAAGCTGTAGACAACTAGGTGACGCGGGCAATAAACATCGCACACACCTCGACCACCGATAACCTGAAGTTGCGCAGCAGTGCGCCTTAGGGCTTTGAAGGCTCTAAGTTTCGGCATGCGAAAATGTACAGGTAAATCGAAAAATGATCGTGATCACAATCAGTTGTTTTCTTGCCGTTGGCCTCCACAATTGCTGAAGCTATCTTGGAGCTATATAGACCTCGGTTTTGCCTTTCATTGTACACCGAGAAAGTGGACACGCATGTATTCCCATTTGCACTAGATCCAAAGCAAATACAACCGTCAACATAACATTCGAGCAACAGTTCAACGCATAGAAAGCGAGAGATCGATGGATAACGCAACTGCAATGGCGAAATTCTCCAGTGTGATTCGTGGCAGACATAGAGTTAATATTGCCACCCACACGTAGTGGGTCGACTGCAAGAGCGGCTCTCAATCTGAAGGGAAACAAAAGATTGTTTCTTCTAGACTCGAGAGCCAGCCACGACTGACACATCGTCCCAGAGCTAGCTACTCGGTGGTTTAATAAATCCTCAGTACTTGTGATTCATCGTGACAAACTGGTTGAGGTGCTGGGTACTCTCACGGATGCTGCAGACCCCCCCAGAAAGCCGTAGTACGAGTCCAGTGCCAGTCAATACTCCCATGCATCGACCAGCTGCTGAATCAGGGGATTGCTTCCGGAAGTCGAGGATGCTGCTCCCACCCTGTCGGCAGACATGACCAGCGCTTCGGTGCAAACCTCGCCAACCGGCACAAGAAGCACGACGTCGAACCGCTATACGTTGGAAAGCCCACAGCACCGGCGACGTTCCATGGTACGAAGCGCGAGGACGTTGAGGGCTGGTTTGTGGACTTTGAGTGCGTAGCCACCGTGAATCAGTGGGACGATGCGGCGAAACTGGGTCGTGTCTACTATCTCGAAGACGGGGCACGTTCGTGGTATCAAAATCGAGAGGAGCAGCTGACGACGTGGCCCGAATTCTCTCGTAGACTTCTACAGACATATGTCAGTGCTGATTGCCAAGAAAGAGCTGAACGAGCTATTCTGGCCCGTGTCCAGTCGCAAAACGAAACTGTGACCACGTACATCGAAGACATGACGAGGCTCTTCCGACGGGCCGATTCAAGAATGACGGAGGACAAAAAGTTGCCTCACATGATGCGCAGTGTCAAGGACCAGCTTTTTGCAAGCCCTCCGAAAACGGTCGCGGAGTTCTTGTCCGAAGCTGTGACAATGGAAAAAATGCTGCAGCAGCGATCCAATCAATACGACAGGCAAGTCAGTAACATGTCCACTGCCGACATTTTCACCGCCACTGGAACTAGCAATGACTTTCTACGTGAATTCATCCGTAATATAGTATGTGAAGAGTTGCAAAAGGCTTGTGTAACACCTCATCCTAAGGTTAGCTCTATTGCAACTGTGATCAAGGATGAGCTGCACCAGGCCCCTTGCCTCCTGATACAGCTGCGCCAGCTCCTTAAAACGCCCTGCTGCATCGCCGCCATTGTTCGTTCATGCTGTCCCTGCTGTTTCACTCGAGTCAGCACAGCACATACCATACTACGAAGGCACGTACACGCCACCGCCCCTGCCCTTTGTCCGTGGCGCTTCTGTCGCCCATCGTTCGGTGCAACCGGTCCAGTACATCGACGATCGGCACACGTCTCCTCGGAAGTCTGATGTTTGGCGCACACCCGATCACCGGCCTCTATGCTTCCACTGCGGAGAAGCTAATCACTTGTGCCGCCAGTGCCCATATCTTCGTCTTGGGCTTCGCGGCTTCTTTGCGTACTCGCGGCCACCACGTTACGGGCAGAGACCTTGCGACATCGAAAACTACCTCTCCCAGCAGCATGCACTACCGTCTGCCAGGCGCCAGTCGCGCTCGCCATCATCGAGGGGATTTTCATCAACGACCTAGCGGTATTCTACCGCACGATCTCCCAGCCCCCGCCGGGAAAACTAGCCAAAGTGACCTCTGGAGGCGGGGTCACTGAACGTCGAAGCGCAGAAGACCTCCTATTGACCCAGAACCGTACAGAAATCGGTCCGACGTCACCTGCTGCTGCAAAGGATAGCCGACTGTCATTCGACATAGCAGTGACAATTGATGGTTGTGTAGTTAATGCATTAGAGGAAACTGGTGCAGACTATTCTATACTGAGCAGGAAACTGACAAGGCAGCTGAATAAAGTAATCACGCCGTGGCATAACTCGCAGATTTAGACAGCTGGCGGCCATGTCGTTAGTTGACTAGGCGCCTGCACAACAGAGTACAGATTCAACGGTATACATTCTTAGCAAGCTGCCTTGTTCTACATGAATGCTCCCGTGACGTCGTTCTGGGAGTTGACTTTCTACAGGAAAATGAAGCTATCATTGATCTGTAAGAGCACCGCGTCACATTCTCAGCCTAGCGAGCAATCAACGTGCAGGATGACGGAAGGCTTGTCGACGTACTCCGCATTTCTGAACAGAGCGTGACTCTTCCTCCATGAGCAAGTGTTCTAGACTACGTAACATGCTGTGGTTTGAGCAATGGCAATGTGGAGGCCGAGACAAATTTAGAACACCTCCTGCAGCAAGGCATCTGTGTAGCCAGAAGTGTAATACACGTTCGTGATGGCCGATCTGAATTCCTCGTACCTTTAGCAACGAGCATCGACTCCTTTTCTGTGGCACTTCGATAGCGTTTGCCCACGAAGTGGCAAACGTAACCAACTGTCTCACGTCAAAATTAGTGGATACCACAGACATCTGTCCACCGATAACCAGACTGCGCTGCGAGCGCTCTTGTTCAAGTTCAGGTCTTGCTTCGCAAATTGTTCAAAGATTTGCCAGACGTCCATCACTCAACACAGGATCATCACGTACGAGAACACACACCCTGTGATGCAGGTTTACTGTTTAATAAATTGTTGCTCGGAGGGAAAGCCTCGGAGCTAAGAAATGACGAAGCCGTTTAAGGTGTGAAAAGAAAAGTAGAAACTTTAAGCCTAATAGATTCCGCTAGGTGGCGTAGGGCGGTGATGACGTGCTGACATCGCTCTCCGCTTTATGAAACACTTTCAGGCAGAAATTTGATTCAAGTCCACTTGAAGTGTGCGTCATCTTTTTCGTGAAGTTGCGAGGATTCGAAGGACGCCAAAATCTGGGACCTGGACCAGCTTCACGAGAAACAATCAACATTCGAAGACACGACCTGCACGAATGCAGCTCACTGTATCACCGGCTTCGGTCGGGGGCGCTGGGACGCTAAACCGTGCGGGATGCGGGGACGGGTGTGTGTGCGTCGATCGGCTCAACACCATCCGACCGAATTTCTCCGAAATTTTCTGACCGATTTAGAAGTCGATGGTAAGTGCCATTTAACCTCCTTTTCGGACTATACGCCTTGCGCAGGGGAAAACGGAGGTCAGCCCATGCCCCTGTATTTACTGAGCATGCATGCATAAGGACGCCTAGAAGTTCTTCGTCTAGATGGACGTCGACGAAGACCCTCCCGGCGCATCTCTGGTGTCGGAGAATCAACCAAATGACGCGAGTAGCATCTCATCAAATGAGGAACCAAGTAACGACGCGCCAGCGCCCAGCGCCGCGTCTCACGACGCGGGTGTGGCTCTTACTTGGACGGGGGAAGGCTGGCACACCGTCCTTTCCCGCAGAAGAAAAAAGAACCATAAACAAAGCCAGAAAGAACCCGAGAAGGGACTAGAGAAGAAAAACGAAAAGTCAGCAGCCCATCCGCCTGTCAACGCAGCACTGGACAGCCAAGTCAAGCGGGAGTTCCAGCGCAGAAAACGCCGAGGTCCAACGCCCCTTCCAAAGAAAGACATAAAAGTTATCCTGAGACCGCACAAGGGCCTCACAGTGAAAAATCTATTTGGATCATAGCTCTCTATGGAGTGATAGAGGCCTGCCGGAACAGCTTTGGAAGAGACAGTTTTTTGCTGCGGGTCCACCCCGGATCGAGCATCATAATATTGTCCACGC